TTACAAAAACAATAATAATAATAATAATATTTCGAACTTTTTAGTTTTGTACCCCTTCTTCCCTTCTAAGGATGCAACCCACCTTAACATAAAGAAACAAAAAGAAAAACAAATAATATAACACACAAAACTAAGAGGTTGGCAGGGAAGGATATGTTGAAAACTGTATAATGCCACCATAATCTATATGCAATGCAACAAACAAACCACAGAGTTGCAAGACCATTGGCTCTGATACCAAAATGAAACAACCTTCCTAAATAAACTGAAAAAAATTTAACCTTTTTTTTTTATATGGTAACTTTAAGAAATAGCTTTTTATAACGAAGCCATGCTAAATACAAACCCAAATTATATCACGGTCATCTACACTAACTATATCATAATGTTATCCGTGATAGAAAAGAACAGCACCCAATCATACATCCTGTCACGGATAAAAGAACTTTTCTTAACTCATTCAAACATAACCTATGTAAGAAATGATCAATCTCATCTAATATGGTTATAAAACAACATATAATATAGCTCATAGACCAAAATATTAAGAATTAAATGAGAAATTCATATTTTATAATAAATTCATAAACAAATCACATGTGATCCTAGGCCTCTGGCCAACTATCAGCACGCATATCACAACAGTACAACTCAAAGGATATAACACATCATAATGCATAAATCAATTAAACACAGTTTATCCTAAGGTGGCAGTATACAGGATACAACATAGCTCATAAATCGAGGAGATGCTACCAGTTGTTAATGTAGCTTTACTCCTCCTAATCCTTCCCCGACATCACTCCTTTAAAGCTTTCACTTGAAAAATATTAAACAATAGGGATGAGACAACATCTCAGTAACTAAATCCTACCTATCACACACACTAGCATGGGCTAGTGAGGCGTCAGGTGGGATACACCAAGTCAAAAACAATCAATAGACATTTATTTAACAGTTAAACTCACAGTAACCATATAAGTCGAATATTTCTGCCAATCTCATATAGCTGATAAATTTCAAAAAAAGATAATATACTTTTCATTTTATTCAAAAGATATAAATATCAAATGAAGATACCATGTCATATATAATCCATGAACCCAAATCCATCCTTATATCCTCCTTATTTCTGCCGACTGGACCCATGGGCTAAGTTCTTTCTATTTGACTGGCTACTCTGACAAGCTCACCACTCGAGTGATATGGACCGGCCAAAGACCACAGAGCACTCGGTGGACCATGGGTCCCCCCTCGAAGAACTAGTGGGGTGTCACAGTCCCTCGAAGAACTAGTGGGACAACAATAGTAGCCACTGTAGAGCTCCGTATGGATGCCGATACCACGTGGTAAGTATATGCATCTCAATAACTCCAATCATCTCCTTCCCCCACCCAAACTAGATGCACAGGGTTCAAAATAACACATTTATATGCATAATCAACTGAATTCTAGAATAACACCTCATAGTCATAATTATTAATTTCTAACAATACAGGCAATTTCGATCCTTTTCAAAATAGTATCCCACAAGGCAGTTCATACAAAACATAATATATGTACATGAAAATTGGTTATAAAATTACTCACAAACCTTATACCAATGCATGTAACAGATAGAAATTTAGTTACCTGGTCTCCTAGCTAACAATCAAGCACAAAAAGAGGCCCATACTCGAAAATACCACAATAGGGTTTATATCTACAATTGAAATTAAAGCATTATTTCTACAGTATTAGAGTAAACTACTCACAAATTTCTAACCTTTAACACTCCCTCTAATACATTCAGCTGTTACTCGAAATTCTAGCTCGAAAGGCTTTTTCTAAGGTTTGGGGTAAGAACATATATACGATGATTTATATTCAATTCCTAGACGCCCTTAACTTATGTTATCTTTAGTTATTAAATTATATCATTTGAAGCACCAAATTCACAACCTAGATAGAGAACCCTCAATTTATAACTTATGTTCCATCTTCAAAGAATTTAGATGGATAACCTTAATATGAGTTAATTTATTCTTACTGTAGAAGTGTAATTATTAATCCAACTGTTGAATTTAATGTCTTACATATCACAAGACTACTCTCTAAATTTCGGGTTAATCCAACGGTGAATAAAAACACTAACTTACTATCTAGTATTCTATCTACCAAATCTAAAAAAAAAATGAAAAACGTACCTAATAACTTGTAACTCAGAAATTGAATTGACGATCCAACCGTTGAAACTAATGAGTTTGAAGTCTAGGATCAGCTGACCAAATTGCAGCCTGATCCAACAGTTTACAAACTCGTAAACAACACTTTACTGAGACTGTGTCAGTTTTGTGCGAAAATTATTTAATTCATCTTTAACTCTTCCCTACTACCACCTATATATAGGCTCCTAGAACTTCCTCTTCCCATCATTCAGTTGATGTGGGACTTCTTAACATCGCTATTTTATCTATCTTTCTATCATTTAATCAATGTGGGACTTCTTAACATCGCTATTTTATTCATTTTCTCATACACACACACAAATCAGAATTATTTTAATTACATATATGTATATTTAACCTCTACCTATTCTATAAAAAATTTGTTTAAATATTAGAGATATGAAAATTAGATGTTACACAACACGTCCAATCCGTTCCAAAATCTCATAAGGACCCATAAATCAGGGTGTAAGCTTCTTGGCTTTAATGGATCTACCAACACCGGTGACAGGTGAAACCTTCAGAAATACATGATCACCCACTTTAAATTCTAAAGGTCTCCTTTGATGATCCGCATAACTCTTCTATCGACTTTGGGCCATCAACAACTTCTGCTTGATTAGCTCAATCTTTCTGGTTGTGATGTCTACTGAATCTGGGTCAATAATTGTTCTTTCACTTAATTCAGTCGAACAAAGTGGAGATCTACATTTCCTCCCATATAAAGCCTCATATGGTGCCATCTGAATACTAGTGTGATAGCTATTGTTATAAGCAAACTCTGCTAATGACAAGTGAGTGTCCCAACTACCCTTTAGCTCTATAGCGCAAGCACTCAACATGTCCTCAAGAGTCTGAATCGTCCTCTCAGTCTGTCTATCAATATGAGGATGATAAGCAGTACTAAACTTGAGCTTAGTGCCTATGGCTTCATGTAATGACTGCCACAAGTTCGATGTAAATCTCGGATCTCTATCTGAAATGATGGGCTCTGGTACTCCATGAAGTCGAACAATCTCATCTATATACAACTTTGTTAATCTTTCCAAAGAGTAAGTAAGTACTCTTGATAGGCAGGAAGTGCGCTAACTTAGTTAATCTATCTACAATTACCCATATCGCATTATAACCAGCAGGGGTTCTTGGCATACCAGTAATGAAATCCATAGAAATGTTGTCCCATTTCTATTGGGGAATATCGAGATTCTTTAATAGTCCTAGAGGTCTTGATATTCTATCTTGACCTTTTGACATGTCAGACACTTCATTACAAAATCCGTGACATCCCTCTTCATTTTTGGCCACCAGTAGTTCTTTTTCAAGTCTTAGTACATTTTGGTTATCCCTGGGTGTATCGTGTAATTACTTCGATGCGCCTCTTCTAGAATAGTCCTTTTGATTTTCTCATTATTAGGGACACAAATCCTCTTCTTGTACCTCAGGATTCCTTCTTCACTAATTTCATAATCAGGCACACCATGGTTCTCTACTTCCTATCGGATGCTTAGTAACCGGTTATCCTCCATCTGTGCAGCCTTCAAGTCTCGAAAGAACTCATGATCACCCAAAATTGATTGTAGAGTGGCTGGAGCCTCATGGACCAATTGGAGATCTCTCAATCTCTCTAAGTAGTAGTGTTCCTCCAAACTCATGTGAAACACATGCACCATTTTCCTACTTAAAGCGTCTGCAACCACATTGGCTTTACCTGCATGTTACTTAAGCTCAAAGTCGTAGTCCTTGATGAATTCCATCCACCGACGTTGTCTATTATTCAATTCCTTCTGGTCTATTAAATACCTCAGGCTCCTGTGATCACTGAAGACTTCAAACTATGATCCATATAAGTAGTGCCTCCAGATCTTCAATGCAAAAACCACCGCTGCTAATTCCAGGTCATATGTAGGATAATTCTCCTCATGCGGCCTTAATTGTCTAGATGCATAGGCAACCACTTTACCTTCCTGTATTAGGACACATCCTAAACCCTTAAGTGAAGCATCAGTATAAAGGGTGTATGGTTTTAGGATCTGGAATAGTCAATACTAGTGTCGTGGTCAACTTAACCTTCAGTTCTTGAAAAGCTGCCTCACACTTTTCGTTCCAGATAAACAGTTGGTCTTTCTTGGTCAACTTAGTTAGAGGTATGGCGATCTGAGAAAATCCCTTGATGAATCTTTAGTAATACCCAGCTAAGCTCACGAAACTTCTTACCTCCGTCATAGATTTTGGTGTTTCCCATTTCAATATAGCATCGACCTTGCTAGGATCAACAGCTACTCCCTTGGAAGATACTAAATGGCCTAAAAACTTCATTTCTCTAAGCCAAAACTCGCACTTGCTTAACTTATCATATAATTGATGATCCCTCAATATTTGCAATGCAATGTAAAGATGCTCTTGGTGTTCTTCCTGGTTCTTAGAGTATATAAGGATATCATCTATAAACACCACAATAAACTTGTCCAAATATGGCCTAAAGATCCGGTTCATATAGTCCATAAACACTGCTAGAGCATTCGTCAAACCAAAAGGCATTACTAGAAACTCATAATCTCTGTATCTAGTGCGAAAGGCCATTTTCGGGATGTCCTCTGCTCTGACTCTTAATTGATGATATCCAGACCTTAAGTCAATCTTGGAAAACACTGCTGACCCCATTAGTTGATCTAGCAAGTCATCAATCCTAGGCAAAGGATATTTGTTCTTGATAGTCACTTTGTTCAACTGCCTGTAATCTATACACAATCTTAAGCTCCCATCCTTCTTTCTCACAAACAGTACTGGGGATCTCTATGGTGAGACACTTGGTCTAATAAATCCTTTTTCAAGTAACTCTTTGATTTGCTTTTTCAGCTCTGCCAATTCAGAAGGTGACATTCTGTACGGTGCTTTAGAAATTGGAGCTGTCCCTGGTACTAGCTCAATGGAGAATTCAACTTCCCTTTCAGGAGGTAAACCGGACACTTCCTCAAGAAATACCTCAGGAAACTCCTTTACTACCTCGATTTTCTCTATACCAACTTCTTTATCTGTACTAACGGAAAAGAAAACAGCATACGCCTGACAAACCTTCTGAATACACTTAGTTGCTTGAGTAGCAGACAACCACAAACGGCCATTAATAGCCTCAACTATTGTAGTGCACAAAGGAAGAGTTACCATCTTCCTTTTACAATCTAAAATGGCATTATTTGCTGATAGCCAATCCATGCCAATAATCACGTTAATACCCTTGAGGGGTAGACAAATCAAATCAATCACAGACTCACGATTCTCAAATTTAAGCACAAGACTTAAACACGTCTGTGTGGTTAACACAGTGGCTCCCGCTAGAGTTGACACTTTCAACATGTAAGACAAATCATGCATTGAAAATTTAAACTTTTGAGCACATTCTGCAGCAATAAAAGAATGAGTGGCACCAAAATCAAATAACATAGGCATATCATGTCCTTGAAGAGAGACAGTACCTCTAATCAGATTAGGAGACGTACCAGCTTCCTCTTTAGTCAAAGCAAAAACTCTCTCGAGCACCGTGGATTTGAAACTAGGAGTTTGCTGCCGCGTCTCTGGACAATTGCGAGCTATATGTCTAAACTTATGGCATCTATAGCATTCCTAACACTGTCCTGGGTGATTTCTCCCACATCTCATGCAAGGACCACTAACACTTGGTGTGGATCTGGCAGGATCACGTTGGACACTCTGATCTCCTCCCATACGGTTCCCCTGAGCCTGTCTCCTCTACATAAAGCCTCTACGGGCTGAATTCTTCTGATTCTGGCTCTTGCCTCTGCTTGAGTTACCCAACCTCCTATAATTATAGCTACCCTTCTTATTGACTCCTCCCGTTGGCCTCATAAAACCAAAGAATCTATCATGATTATCCCGATGTCGACAATCCTCTACCTCTCGGGTTCTACGAGCTATCATCCTAAGTTTCGTGCAAGCATCCTCGAAACTCTTAAACTCATATAAGGCCATTTACTGCTTCAACTCTGGCCTCGCCCGTTCTATCAATTGTCGGGCCATCCACTCTGGGTTATCATTCTGTTGTAGGTAAGTAACATGCTTTGAGAGGTCAATATACGTGGCAATAAACTCATCCTCATGCATGTTCTCCTGTCAAAGAGCATAAAAAGCTGTTTCTTTTTCTTATCTCATAACTGGGGGAAAGTAGTGATCAAAGAACATCTGTTTGAATTCGTTCCAAGTAATCCCCAAGTCATCTATGCCGCTTACACTCCTCCACCACCTCTTAGCTTGGTCCCTCAATAAGACCACAGTTACTTGTACCTTTTGATAGGTATTACAACCACAAGCCTTGAAAATTGTCTCCATGTCATCTATCCAAGCCTCAACTGTATCAGGATCCATACCCCCATCAAAAGTCTTCAGGTGATGTCGCTCTATATCCTTCCATACACTTTTAAGGTTCACCGCCTCTTCTTTTCCTGGTCACCTTTGTGAAATACTCTCTTCTTTGGTTCCTTCAATAGAATCCCTGTGGGTGACAGAATTTCCCACATACGGCCCAGGAAGCCCATTCCCTTTAAACTCTTCCACAGCTTTCTTGATTCTCAAATCTTCCTCCATCTTACTTACTCTCTCATCTACCACCATAACTACCACTTCCCTTAGCTGTTGTAGTAAGGTCTCTTGGTTAAATTGCAGAGGATTCCGTGGTTGATTAGGTGGGTTTGTGGATTCATCCCAACCTTGATCGGTTTGTCGGGATCGCGTCCATACCATCCTCCCCACCTAAGGATGGAACCCACCAAAAGAAACACAAAGTAAGGTCAAGCACAGACACAGAGTAACAGGGAAGGTTATGTGAGATTATTATATATTGCCACTAAATGCAATGTAATGCAACTCAATTTGCAGAATCTTTGGCTCTGATACCAAATTGTGACAACCGTTCTCTCAAAACCATTTTAGATTAGATTCAACAATTTATTTGAATGATTAACCATGATAGAAAAGAAGAAATCTTAAATTTTTAAAATCGCTATCATGGTTAAAAGAAATAAACTTATATTACGAGCCACATCAATCGTTAACTTGGGTCTTGGACCTTCAAAGTCCAGCAATATCATTCAATCATTAGCCCAAACCAAACTTATACTTTCAAACACACGAACTAATAAAACATTTTAATATAAGTCATAGAGCCCATTAGTCAAAAGTCAACACTATCAAATGAGCATAATACGCAAAGTCTTAAATATCTCTGGCCTTCCAATGACCCCCCAGATCAGATAGTAGTAATTAAAAGTATTAGTTTACAATATTAGAGTATATGGGCCCTACATGGTAATATATAACAAGTCAACACATAAAACAAAAGCAGGGAGGTTATACAAGCTGTAACAGCACACTATGCCTCCAAAGCTTTCCCTGATAGGCCACCACCGGAACTATCACCTGAAGATAGTAAAAACCATGGGGTGAGACAAACGCCTCAGTAACCAACTTTCCAACTCATCACACATACTAACACATGCTCGTGAGATGCCAACTAGGACAGTTATTAATTCTCGAGAAATATAGATATATCCATAGAAATATAATTTCAATCATCCAAACCCTCACTATGGGGGCTAACACACAAGCCACATAAGTCTATCTCTCACTATGGGGGATCAATCAAACATATGGGCCTATCCCTTACTTTGGGGGACGAATAAGAAGCCACAAAGGCTTATCCCTCACTATGGGGGAAGAAGGAAGAAGCCAACCAATGTGCACCGATGGCGGCCTTAACACGTGGTAGGATAGTGCTCAATCCAAAATCTAAATAACAACCAATCATTCACAATATAATGAAAAATGTCTCAATCTTTTCTCAGTTCAATCCATAAGATATAAATCATATATCTTTTCCAAACTTTTTAATCACAATTCCAAAAATCCCACAAGACAATTTTCATGGCCCAAAAGATATAATATATCTACTCGAATTCCAAATAACAAATATTATTCAAAAATAGGAAAATACTCACAAACAACATATTAGCACATATAACAAGTGGAAAGTGATTACCTCTCATCAAAGCAATACTAAGGATTACCACAAGGTCAATCCTTTGCTCAACCAATAATTAATCTACACAATTAATATAACCACATATTAATATAAACAAATTAGTTAATTAAACTTCGCTATATTAGTTAAATTTCTAATTTAATTAAATTTTTATTCTAAATTCCCCGCAACTCTCATAACCTAACAATTATTAAGTATTTTAGAAACAACTTGAAATTTCTAACAACCCAAATTATTTATTTACCACCTCCAAATTATTTACCTTAATAAAAAGGATTTTCCACAATTTCCAAATATAAAATTATTATGTTCTAAATTCTAAAAATCGCCATTTAAGTTTAAACCTCAAAATCAAACTATCAAAAATTTAATAATATTTCAAATATTTATAAATAAATAATCTAATCAAAACTTTAATGATATAACTATCATATATATATTTTCATCAATAATAAACTTTTTAGCTACAATAATTATTTAAAAACCTTCAGTCACCCAATAAATAAAACTAGACCGATTAAAATCTCAATAATATATCAAACAATCCAAATAATTTATTTAACTTGAATTTAATTGGTAAAAATATGGTATATCTCATAAATAACAGATTTTCAACTAAATAAATTAATTTAAATACTAAAACTAACAAATAGAGAAATCTAAACTGATTAAAATTAACAACTCATTTACTTCTAAATTTCTATACTCATCTTTTGTCAAAACTCAATACTTAGATCATATATAAGTCTCAAAATTTTCTCCAATCACTATAGTAATAATGTAAATAGGAAGCTCAAAATATACAAGAAATATTAATAAAGAAAGTTTGATAAAAAGAAGTAATCTTATGTACCTAAATTATCATCAAAGTTTTGCCTTCTCCTTCACGAGGACTACTGCTATGCTCTTTTTATTTCTCTCTCACTCTCTTTCTCTCTTCCCCTCTTTCTCTCACGCATTCTCATCTGCCTCCTACTCTCTCTTTTATCTCCATCTTCCCAACTACCTTTTTCATTTTTTCTTCTATCATTAAATACGTCAGCCCCAAAATTCTTCATTCTTCTTTCAATACTACCTCCATTTTCCACCTCCCAATTTTCAATCTTCCACCTTTAGTTTTCAAACTTTCCACCGAATCAGTGGAAAGTTGACTCAATTAATTTTTTTTAAAAATCTTTTTATTTATATATATTTTTAATTTAATTGTTTTTTCTAAATCCTAAAATAAAGTTTAGAATATTAAAAAGAGTATAAAAATTACCGTCCCTTGGAGATCTTAGCTTTACATTCAATTCTTCCTTCTTCAATGGCAAGTCATCTTTGCTTATGACTAAACATTCTTCTGAATCGAAGATCACCTAGTTGTTTTTGTTAGTACTTTGACTGACACTGAGCAGATTATGACACAGGCCTTCTACGTAGTACACATCTTCAACCTTCATCCCTTTGTCACTTCCTATCTCTCCGATTCAAGTAATTCTTCTAGGTTGATTGCTGCTGAAGCTTACTTTGCCTTCTTCTCTTGGTTTGAGTGATGGGAATTTCTCGGCATCACCTATCATATGTCTGAAGCATCCACTGTCGATGTACTATTTGTTCGTTCTGGATGCTTTGAGGCATACGTGTAACAACACAATCATGTTTTAGGTACACATACCTTCTTGGGTCTTTTTTTGTTAGCATGAATTGTCCTAGGCACATAAGTACCTTTGGGCACCCATTTTAATGTCCTGTAAATTCCTTTTTTCTTGTGATAACAAGAAGAGGTTGTATGACCTTTATGGTTGCAATAAGAACATAATGCAAAAGGATTAGAGGAATGAATAGTATTTCTAAAGAAGGTAAGATACGATCGAACTACTTTTCTTCTTTCCTTTCGTCTTATCTTGAACAGGATCATATCCTATCCATTGAACATCATTGAGCTCCTAGAATCACTTTGAGCATTTCACTGCCCTTAGTGAACTTTTTCAAGGTTCTTGCTAGATCCTCAGCCTTGCTTCTATTCTGTTCACATTCTGTACATACTGGGGGTGGAACTGTGTTATCTTTCTGCTTCGCTTGCTGTTCCTCCAGAAACTTTATTTTTTTCTTGGAGCTTACCAACTCCTTTACAATTCTTACTAATTCTAAATGTAATGCATTGTATTCAGATTGTAAT